AGTTGCTTCTTTGAAGAGCTACGTTTGGATCTGTTTTCTTTTGAGGAGTGTGTGTTATTGATTTTGTTGAAGCAGGGGTCGATCTTTGTTTTGCTGTGAATTCAGCTCAGATTTCGACTATGACGGTGGTAGCGTCCGGCGGTGATGAATGTCGGCGCACTGTTTGGCAACCCTAGATCTGTTTGCAATTGTTTTATTCATTTAGGAGTTGTATTGGGCTTCTCAAAATCACTTTATAAGGCTTTGGGCCTTTAAATGAAATATATTGAAAAAAAAAATCACTAAAATTATTAAAGAAAATCACTAAAACATTCACACTTCTAGCCCAAAACAATCTTCAAAAAGTTATTAAAACCATGTGGTCCAAAACCAAAACGATGACAAAACCAAATCTAGGCCTTTATTTTTCGGCCCACTAAGCCTATTACAATGTTTTTAACCTAGAGTGGTGAACTGGTGATAATCAACCAATTTGCACTTGAGAACTAATAAATGATTGATTATTATGGTAGCCATGCAACTAAATGTGTATTCAATTATTGATTAAGCCTTACTTAGAAAAAGGTTTAATTTGAATAATTATTCAAGGGGAATCTTAATTTATGAGTAAGAGACTAAAGAAAAAATGTTAATATTAGCAAAGATGGAATGTGGAAAAAAAAAAAAAAGTTACACCACCAAATTAATCAAAAAGACAAAGAATATCCACGTGTCGAAACTACACATATTAATTCTCGTGGACCCCATGCCGCACCGTCGATTTCACGTGTACGTGTCTCTGACTAGGACCCACATTTCCACACATGAGTCCTCACCTCACGATCTCGTCACACGCTCACAAAGTCACACGTTCAACGATAACTCTTCTTTTGTGAAATTTGAAATTTATTTACTATAATGAAACAAAAATTCTCTATACATCAATTTTAATGTAATGCTATTACATACAGAGTTTTTTTTCTAACAAATTTTCGCTAAACTTACATTTTCCCAACAAAATATGTTATGGAATGGCGAGAGGTTTGCGGATATTCATACCTAAAAAGAATTATACCTAAATGAAAAATATATAAAATGACGTTATAAAAGGAAATTAGTTGCAATGTTGGGTTAGGTTACAGCAAATGGGCATTGTGCATGTGATGGAATTTCAACAATATTAGCTTCATCTTGCCTACGTACTAACTTATGATGATGATATAAACATGATCATGTGTGATGTGTGTATTTATATTTGATCGTTCAATCCATATAACCTAACCTTTTCAAATTTATTTAGATTCCATCTAAATTGAGTTTTGCAATTATGACACCACGAAAAGGAACCGGAGAGGATGTCATTAACCGGTTTGTTGTAGATATATCTCATTTTCGATATTTAATTTCTAGCTTGTGATGAACTTCAATCTTAAACCACCGTTTCACATTTCAAATCCGGTCCTAACAACATTTGATTTGGTTTAGTTTGGTTCACTATAACCATGACAAATACAGCAACTGCCTAGCTGTGACATGAACAAGGACAGAGAGAAATTAAAACCAAAAGTATTAAGAGATCCCATAGATGATGAACTGTCGAAAGACAAAACCTTTTAGCTAGCAAGATTTCTTGTCAGTTTGTTTCTAAATTGAAGATATATGTGAAAGATCATAAGAAGTTTCATAGAGACAGAGAGACAAAGGTGGGATTCTAATTTCTAGTTAAGAAAAAACAATCGAGTACAATAAGTATCCATGTGGTTGTTTCATCAACAAGATAACAAATTAAGACAGCCACCAAAATGTTCAGTTAAAAGTTTATCATACCAAAATGTAAACTCAAAGTTTATATGTAATTTTAGTTATAAAAGCAAAGTCAATGAAACTCCTCAAAATCTTATCTTAAAACACACAAAGGAAACTAATAAATTTGTTTTGACTTAAGACAGCTAGTGTTTCAGCTCAATTGACTTGGATGATCTCATCTTGATTCCACAAGAACCACATATATAAGTGTTCTAGAGAGAGAGAGAGAGGTGACATTTGCATATGGCAGACCACATGTAATGCTTACCCTACAAAAACTCAATGCTCAACCAAAGAAAATGGTTTTTATACTCTACACATGAGTGTTCCATAAACCCTACTCAATTCCTTGAAATGGGTTAGATCTAAACCGTCCATTTAGATCAAAGAAAGTATCTTTCTTTTTGGGGTTTTGAAGATGGAAAGTGTCCCACAAATGTCCCCAAAATGATGGGACACACTTTGCCTCAAAATTGATGCAGCTGTTTGCTACCCGACAGCTTTAGCTTTTGCCTTTGTCCTTAATTCAAGTTAAACCCTTTCTTTTCTAAATTACCAAAAACCAAACTTTCAATTCCTATAAAAACAATCTTATTCACACAAAGCCTCTCATATCTCATCACCAAG